TGGATGGGTGGGTGGGTGGATGGATGGGTGGATGAACGGGTGGTTGGATGGGTGGTGAGTGGATAGATGGATGGATGGGTAGATGAGTGGATGGCAGGACGTGATATGGGTGGATGTTGAGATATCGGTGGGCACACAGGGCAAGATGGGCTTACAGACTGATGCTAGGACACTGGTGTGGATGGATGGTAGGGTGGAGTAATGGGTGGACACTGAGATAGTGGCAGATGCAGATGCCAAGGTTGGCACGCAGAGTGACGTTATGTGTGGGATGGATGGACGGTAGGATGCAATGATGGATATGCGCTCAGATCCTGTCACACCCTGAGGCCCAGGTGGGCTTATACCAGGTGCTAGGACGCGGAAATAGACCGATGGGAGGACGTAGTAACAGAGGGAAGGTGAGTTATTGGTAGACTCGATTTCAAGATGAGCATACAGACAGATGTGAGGGTGTGGGAATAGATGGGATTGGGACGTAGTTATGGAGAGATGTCCAGATCCTGGCAGACACAGATGACTGTGAGACTTTAACCAAACCAAGATCTTACCCGAGATTTTAACCAAACCATGATCTTACCCACGACTTTAACCAAACCAACATCTTAATCAAGACTCTAACTAAGCCAATATCTTACCCAAGTCTTTAACCAAACCAAGATCTTACCCAAGGCTTCAACCAAAAGCAAGACCTTATCCAAGACTTTAACCAAACAAAGATCTTACCCAAGACTTTAACCAAACCAAGATCTTACCCAAGACTTTAACCAAAACTGAGATCTCACCCAAGATTTCCACTAAAATCAAAACTATAGCCAAGACCTTAGCTAAGACCTTAATCTGGATCAAGACCATAACTAAGACATAAACAAGACTAGGATCTGTAACAAGACTTTGACCAAAACCTGGACCTCAATCATGACCTTAACAAATGTGAAGATTTTGAAGAGGCTATGAGCTGGACCATAACGCAGACCCGGACTGAAACCTTAGCAAAGACTAAGACCTTGACCAGAAGCACAGGCAAAAGGAGGATCCCAACCAAGTCCAGAACCAGGACTACACCTTCACCAAGACCAGAACCAAGACTACACCTTCACCAACAGCAGAACCAGGACTACACCTTCACCAAGACCAGAACTGCAGGCAGGATGTCAACCAAGACCAGTATGGGTACATGCCATCTTTTCTCTTTCTCTTTTTTTTTTAAAAGAGATTAATTAAAAAAAAAAAAGAAGAATAGCAAAATACCAACAACATAGATGAAAACAAAACAAGCCCAAAACAACAGAAGTGACACAGGGTCTCAGAACAAAATGATAGGAATTAACAGTTGTTGTTATATTACATATTGTTATCTTTAGCAAAGTTGCTCAGATTACCACATGTAAGAATGAAAGATTGATCAAATAAAATCAATAAAAAGATTGATCTATTAAAGAGAATAAAAAGTAATAATAATAAAAACAGTAGAAATGATACAGAGCTTCACTACACAAGATGCTAGGAATTCACCAATGGTTGTTATACTGCATAATGTTGTCTTCAAATTAGTTGCTCAGATCACCAGATAGAAGCATGCAAAATTGGTCAAAAAGAAAACTAAATTAGGCATTCACTGTTCTTTCCATCTTTCCTTTAATCTCAGTGACATGACAGACCCTTCGCTCCAAAGCTTTCTCCACCTCATCTGTGAAGAAAACCAAAGCACCCATGATCACCAAGCCATCGCTTGTCCTTAGGAAAGGATGTCCGGATCTACCAGAGGTCTTGTGTCCTGGGATGGCCAAGAAGATCACACACAATGGGGGTTAAAAATGGCACAGAGATTAATCCCAAGGAAAATCATACAGAAATCCTCGGGGCCAGGGGCCAGAAAAAGGGGAGGAGACACAAGGTGGACGTCCCTCTGGGCCATGAGAGCTTCCCCACTTAGGAAGTTTCCAGTTGGGGGATATTTCACACACACGAGGAATCCTGCGAAGGAAACCCCACCCTAGACACGAAATTCCATCCTATCTCAGTCCATCTCATGCCTGGAACCTGAGAGTGATTGAATCGAGTATTTTTAATAATAGTTTTTGGCAAAAGCGGAGTTGCGTAGTGTGGGATCTCCCACCGAGAGCGTCCCGTTGGCACCCCAGTTCTAGGTGGGGGGATCAGAGAGGCAAAGCCACAACACCACAGGGCGCAAACCTCACCCGCCACCGAGACCCCTGAGGAACATAAAATCCTCAGGAGAGAACGGGATTCCTTTAAGACGCCCTAGAAAGGAAATGCACCCGCATTAATGGCGTCTTGTGTGCGGGCAGCCGCCGAGGCTGTCGCGGTCCTGGGCCGATCCACGGCCACCATGTCCCTGTCTCTTCCCGGTCAAGTCTTCCTTCGAGCTCAGCCCACAAGTGAGGACCCTCGTCAGACAGGGACCCAGGGGCAGGGGAGAAGATGCAAGGGAGGAAGGAAGGAAAATAGATGGGTCCCTGGCTCCATACAAAAATCCGTGGCTCACGCCCAGGACTTCAAACAAGCAAACCAATAAATAAAGTAACATAAAATCACCTAAAATTTTGCAAAGGGAGAAAGACAAACCCAGGAGACCCGGATTCCTCTGATCTCCTCCAAGTCCCTGAAGCTAAGGGAACGTTGCAGGTTGCGGAGCGTCCGTCCCAAATCCGAGAAGTCTAACCCAACACGATCCCCAAATCCCAGATTTTTCAGGTGCCCATGTGGGACACCGCCAAGAGGAGATCGAGACACTGAGAAATTTCTCTGCTTCTGGCACAAAATGACTTAAAACATTGTCACATACAGTGACCTCCAGGCTAGGAGAACAACACAAGCCCATATTTAGACTCAAAACCTTTCTCCAAAATATCGCACCAGAACATGAAACTACATCAAAATCTGAAGGGGAAAAAACAAAAAAAGGAAACACAAAGCACTTCTGGTCACAAGCATTTTGGACAAGCAATCCCGTAATTATAAAAAAAGAAAAAAAAATCTTCTGACATCACAGCTTCATTTCGTCATTCCTGTCTGTCTTTCTCTCTTTCTGAGCGTGTGTTTTGTTTTTCTTTGGTGCTGGGTACTGAGCCCAGGGCCTTTGCACTGAGCAATTTTTTTATTTTTTATTTTGAGCCAGGGTTTTTATTAAATTAGTAAGTAGCCCAGGCTTGGCTCAAACATGAGATCCTCCTGCCTCATCCTCCATGGTGCTGGGATTACAAACATGTGTGTTTGTGTGTGTGTGTGTGTGTGTGTGTGTGTGTTG